TTTTTTTTTTTTGTTTGTTTGTTTGTTTTGACTGAGAAATTTCCTTGCGTCCCAAAAACGCACATTGTTTGGAACTGTGCGTCCTGTGGGTTAATTTTGCGTCTCGGACGCGGGAGGCAGAGGTAACGAGATGGCTGATCTCTAAACATTCTCTGAGTACTACTATTATTACCACTCCCACTAATACTACATTAATTAATTTAATACCTTCAACTTAACAATAATAATAAAAAATAATAAATCAACCATGATTTTAAACTATGTATTATCAATATTCATTATTCCAAACATGAGAAAGCAATCACCAAAAACATAACTGGAATCGAGCAAAAGGACTCCAAATCCCAACGGCCAAACCCGAAAGTGAAGTGCCGGCATTATTGACTCCAGCTGTAACGCAAATTACTTGGTTCAAACAAACATTAGTGCCACCGCAGAAACGTGACGACTGTGCAAAAATAACTACATAAAAGACACCACGGTTACAGAAAGACTTTACACGCTATTTAAACTGCCGATCGCGAACGGAACAAACCGTGATTGAAACTAACTGTGATGCCGCTCTTTATTCGTTGCGCTTACTGTCGCCTGTCAGTGGCAGACCCGCCCCTTTTAAAGCGCCAGATTAATCCATCAATATGCGTTTTACTGGATGGAATTTATTTGATTCCTTCGTGGTGTTTACGTACCACTTTATACCTGTGGACAAGGGATTCGAGGCTCTCATCCCTCATTGTGTCCGAGGACCGGCAACCCGAGGCCAAGGCCAAGGACTTGACTCCCAAGGCCAAGGCCAAGAAATTGACTCCCAAGGCCAAGGCCAAGGACCAAGGACCGACCTTCGGTCCTCGAGCCGGTCCTCGAGGCCAAGGGCAGGCAGCTACAAAGCATCCAGAGTAGGACCGCATCATTTTTTCTGCAAGCACTGATAAGCACGCACTAAACTATGCAGACACCAAACACGCATTAATCAATGTTCCTTGCTCTTAGCTGCTGTTTTTTTTTTTTTTCTTTTCAGAAACCAGGTTTGCTGCAGCGGGTGTGTCGAGTGGCTCTTCCTCTCTGGCTCCTCTTCCTGGCTTTCCTGCTGCTGGCCTTTCTCCTGCCCCTCATGGACGAAGGCAACAGCTGCTCCATCTCCAATAACTTCGCAAGATCTTTCAGTGTTATGCTGCGCTACTCTGGGCCACCGCCTACATAGATGGAACTCAGCCCGCTTTCTACCGCACATTCTTGTTTCTCAACAAACGTACTCACCTACTTTTTATCTGAAGAAGAAGAGACAACTAAGACATTCTGAAAGCCGTCATTAGAGGCTTTGCAATCACCAACTCCATAATTTTAATTGTATCTTGAAATATTGTTCCGAAACATTGCCTCACTAATGGCCATATTCTCTCTGTGAGAACTCGTGCCATATGCTTAGAACTCATTCACTTCCAGCCGTTTTAGAACATTTTTGACATCTTCAAGACCAACAGGATATTGTCTTCAATGATTATAGGTAGGGCGGCACGGTGATCAACTGGTTAGCATGTCTGCCTCAGTGCGGAGGTGCAGGGTACAATTCCAGACCCTGGCCTACCTGTGTGAGGTTTGCATGTTCGCCCTGTGACTATGTGGGTTTTCTCTGGGTACCGGTACTCCGGTTTCCTCCCACATTCCAAAAACATGCGTGGCAGCTTCATTTGTCACTCTAAATTGTTCTTAGGCGTGATTGTGAGTGTGACTGGTGCCCTGCGATTGGCTGGCAACCAGTTCAGGGTGTCCCCCGCATACTACCCAAAGACAGCTGGAATAGGCTCCAGCACACCCCGCGACCCTCGTGAGGATTAAGCAGATCAGAAAATGGATGGATGATTATATTCCCAACACTCTTTCACCGTTTGATTCAGCCTTTTTCATTCTTTATAGCATTAGAAAAAATGCAGGTTGCACAAAATGCAGCCAGTTCTCACAGTGGACTATGCTTCGATCTAAAATGGTAGCTCAATGTCATCTATTGTTGGTTCTGCATCACTCAAGTTGTTTCAATTTGAAATTTCCAGTGGCGCAGCAGCAGACGGTCTCCCACCCATCCCCACTGGGAAAAAAAAACGTAATTGACAAGTAGACTTGTCAATGGCAGTGAATGAGTTTTCTGGAAAGGCAGTTGAGCTCATCATACTGAGCAGTGTATCGATGGACTTCCAGACATGCTTTCAGTCATAACCACAGTCTTCTTATTCCACTTTAAACATACTTTTAATGGATTAATTCCACGCAGAATAATGCTCTCCTTCAAAGCTACATGACACACTTACATACAGAAAGACATTCATATCAAGTGCGCTTCATCTTTTGCACAGATTTCAATTAAATTCTCAATTAGCACGAAAAAATACATGTTGGAAGGATTTGCGGGCAAGTCTGTGTTGGTCTTTGGTGTTTCCACACTCATTCATTGCTTATGTGCGGTGGGTGTGTCAGAAATATGTCAGAACTGAAGTGTTAAGCAATTGCAGGTGCTTCAAAAAAAAAAGACAAACGAGAGAATGTGGCCCTTTGTTGTCATGTGCCGCAAAGGCCAGGACTTGTAAATGCAAGAGATCCGAAACCGTGTTTCAATGAACATTTTAAAATTGATACTGTGTTAACCCACTCATATCAACCAAAGGCCAAATCCAGAAACGCATAGCCAACAATAGACAGTTGTTAAGCATTAACCACAGAAATTCCGTAAAATGGAATACAGTTTATTTTTTATCTTAATCTCATTTTATGCTTAATTTTCGAGGGAAGGGGAGGGGTCCTCAAACAAAGCATGACCTTGAGAACCTGTAATACATTCTCAACAAGCCATTTCTTATTCTATGAACTTCTACTGTGTACGTTACAGATGATGAAATGTGTGCCCAGACTGGAAATGTTCATGTGGGATGAACAAGAGTGCAACAAAGCGATCACCACATCTCACCCTGTCGTCAATTGGTTTTAAGGGCCTGAGTTCTAGTTTATCTTGTGTGTGTGTGTGTGTGTGTGTGTGTTTGATGGGGTTGAGGCAAGTTAGTCATTTAACTTCGTACACACAAAACTCATCCGATCATGCCTCAGCCAAATTAAGATTCAGGGGGAAGTGCTATGAAAAAGTAGGCTACCTGTATTTTCATTAACTCCAGGTTTTTGAAATACCAAAACTGGATTTTACGGACATAAGGCAAATGGGGGGTGAGTTTTGGACTTGGGCCTTCAGTGGGTATTTAGTGATCTAATCCACCTCTTAATAACGTCACAATATGTACATAAAAAAACCAAAACACTATATAACAATGGCTTTGTTCACACTGCAGAGTGTGCGACTAAACTGTTCAAAAAAACTCTGCTGGTTGTCACAAGTACATTTGCCGTTTTGCATTCTTTGCTTTCAAATGTGATTAATCAACATGCAGCTTCACACAGAATTGTCAACGATCAAGAGTTATCATACCCATCACTATTTACTGCATCAATTCTTATTTCTTTTTAAAAAGATGGCATTCCCGGTTTACACACACACACACACACACACACACAATCATTGGTCCTTCCCCGTTAAGGCAAGAAAAATAATGATACAGTACTGTAGTGTATAAATAGTTCATGAAATGGGTCTGAACAAAAATGATGGCCACCACAAGTGTCTTCAATATAAGCAGTCTGCCTTTTTTAAGGTGATAAGTAGTCACTGTGCTGTTAGTTGACAGTTTAGTGTGTAAACACACGAAACATGGAACACAGAAAGTGAAGGAGAGTGTTCCTTCAGAAGATTAGGAAGAAAATTAAACAAAAATGTTAGAGGTGAAGGCTACAATTGCGCCCTTGACCATCAGGAAGAGTTTCTCTCGAGTTTCGCTCTTGGAATTGTGTACATGTACCCAATATTTTAATAAAATTTTCATTCCTAAGTGCTAACTTGTATTTTTACTCTGCATGTGACAAATAAACGTTTTGAATGAAAATGGCTCAAGAATTTTATGTAAATTTGCAGAACGGACATATACGCATGTATACTATATAGATATACTGTCTTTCCAGTATATGTGTGCATTCATTGTTAAATGTTATATGTTCTGTTGTACTGTTAAATGTTCAGTAATGCGCTTTGTTACAGTGCTATAATTATTTTGAATGCACAATATAAATGAAAAGTTATGTTTGTGTGTGTACACACAATGTATATAACATGCTGTAACAACTCAACTTTATTCATAGGGCACTTTAAAAACAACCATAGCTGGATCCAAGTGCTGTGCATAAAGTAAAACTGAGACATAAAAAGACAAGACCGTGAAAATGGGAAATAAATAGCATAGACAAAAAATACAATAAAACACGAAATATAATAAATAATACGATGATAATTACTGTCTCGTGCTGAGTGGAAAGCCAAACATTTAAGTCTAATTTATTGATATAGCTCTTAATCACAAAAAGTGTCAAAGGGCTTCATATGCCCACAGTTGACAAATATTAGCAACATCCCCTGATCTTCACTCCCAGGAGGGCAAGGAAAAACAAAACAAACCAAAAAAGAACCTCTGGGGAAAAATGAAGAACCTCGGGAAGGGGCCGCAGACATGAGAATCCACCTTCCAGGATGACCAGGCTGCAATGGATGCCAAGTGGGCAACATTTGACACAATACTGTGCTCTCCAATGTGAGTTAGAATGATATGAAAGTCCATTTAACAAGATAAAACGATGCAGGAAGACACCTTTGGAAAGCTGGCTCCTCCTCAAAAAAACTTGTTGGACAATGGAAAAACATCATCATTGCCACGCCACCGGTGAGGTGGTCCACCCCTGATCTTGTCCACCTCAATTGGTGCAAAACATGTCCACACATCAATCAGAATTCGTAGCGCGACATCTAATTGGGTCATCATCACATCGCCCCCTCTCCAGACCAGATGACAGCAACTGCGTGAATTAGTTATTTCTAATGCCATATAAAATTGGGTATCAGTAGTTCTAAAATTGAAAATTTTACACTGAATCCAGAATCAGAATCATCTTTATTGGCCAACTATATAGAACACAAAAGAATTTGACTCCAGTAGTATAGGCTACACCAGTGTTTTTCAAACTTTTTTGAGCCAAGGCACACTTCTTTCATTGAAAAAATCTCGCGGCTCACCACTAGCTGAAAATGTGGGGCGGAAAAAAAACGCTTATTGTAACAATTAACGTGTTATATTGTTACTATAACCGTTTTTAACATTGAAGAATGACGTTATAACAGCTTGAATTGGAATCAAATGAACACAAAGAAAACAAGTATTTTATCATCTTTCATATTGTTTAGCCGTCATCCTGCATTTATGCGTCACAAATTCGCTTATCTGTAGGCTAAACACAAGGCAATTGGCTAGCTGTTGCTGCTCCCTAGGGGTATGAGAGGGTACTACACGATTACTTTCTGGGCGACAGACCGCACAGGCATACAAATTGGATATTTTCCCGCGGGACACCTGACAATGTGTCGCGGCACACAGGGTTTGAAAAACACTGCCTTAAATACATGACAAGCTTGATTGCTCACAAATGCACCTGCCGAAAAGGCACTACCTCCACTCCAGCTGGCGCTGAAAACAAAAAACACAGACAACAAAACCATGACACTCATAATGCTCATAATTTCTAGAAAAAACAATAGTGAGGTGGCAGTGGTCGTTGCTCGGGCCCTAATAATAAATAATAATTTCTACAAAAACAGGTGGGACCTCACAGCATTCGCCTCAATTCACAAGTGAACCAGATCCATGGGGGGAAGCTGCTGGAAAAGTAACGCAATTATATTTATTCTTATTTCTGATGTTTACAAAATATCTGAATGTGCTAATTTAGTTGAGGCTGGTGTTATTAAACATGGAATGTGAAAATCTAAACTAATTTCTGCTGACACATACATATATTACAGTCTATGGTAATAATTGTTGTCTTAGATTGAGGAAATTCTGCGGTAAGCAAGATCTGACATGTGGCATGAGTTAGTTGAGTGGTCTCATGACGGATGAACCTCCTGTGGAAGTTTGCAAACCCCAGGAACTGCTGGAGCTGTTTGCGCGAACAAGGTACAGTGGTACCTCTACTTATGAACGTCTCTTCATGCGAAATTTTCAAGTTACGAAACGCCTCAAGAGGAAAATATTGCCTCTTGTTACGAAAGAAATTTCAAGACACGAAAGGTAAAAATACAGTATGGGCTGCTCGTAGCAGTTTTCTGAATGCAACATTCTTATAGCTGCTCTGCCATTGGCTATTACCAAGCATCATTCTGGCATCCCATTGGCTAAGAGGGACCTCTACCGTATGTGTAAATCCATGTGTGTAGATAGATAGTCATTCGCCCAGGAAGTCTTCCGATGGTTTTACGTAAATGTGAATCACCCAGAAAAAGTGCTCACCAGTCGGGTGATCACTCACTATGCTGATGTTTGCCTTGGACATTTTCAAAGGATTGTTAAAAGCCGACAAAAGCAAACATCCTTGGATTCAGTTCTTTACAAAATGCTCAGCAAAAACCACTTCTGAGAGAGAACATGAACTAAAGAGGGCAAAAAAACGATGAGGGTGCATTTAAAAGTTAAATGACCATCATTTTTATTCTTTACGCTATTCTTTGTTTTTTACATTATGCACAGCTCTGATTTATTGTGCAATAATCTAATTTGTAACATGTATTTCTTACAATTTGGATGCATTTTTATGCTTCAGAAAACATTTTTGTCTGATTTTTTTTTGGGGGGGGGGGCGGTCATTGAACGAATTTGGCCATTTGCATGGAAAACGCATCTCTACTTACAAAATGTTCTAGTAAAGAAATTTCTTCCAGAACCAATTAATTTCATAAGTAGAGGTACCACTGTATAAGCCACTTGACAATTAGCCACTTCCTCAGTCTTAGCGGGATCTGGCCTAAACTTACCCTGGGCAAGAATGTAGCCGAGAAAAAACTAAACGAAAACTAATAAAGGGGACACCATAGTCACGTTTTTCTGCTTTGTGAAAGAGTTTGTTTTCTTGGAGGCACAACAGAACTCATCTACCATGCTGGGACATATTCTGGGATTTGAGAGAAAATCAAAATGTCCTTGAGATAAAACAATCTCAAACTGGTTAAGCATATCTCGGAAAACGGCACTAATAATTATAATAATAATCATAATAATAGATTTTATTTGGGCAGGGGAGCCTCATGCGGCTCTTTGGCTGGTTCCATTCGGCTCCCGGGCTTTCACTTGACAAGCGTCGAAAAGACCTTGGCGGTGGCGCTGCCATTCATTCCTTATGTCAGGGGTGCTCATTACGTCCATCGGGGAGGTAGTACTGGTCGATCGCGGCGTGACATGAAAAAATATCAGTCTTTTATTCATCCCGTCACTTGATTAATACACAAGGCAGCCAGTTAGATGACAACTGAATTTGACATTCAGGTGACCAATCAAGCGCAAACAACAGCGCTAAGTGCAGCAGAACTTCAATGTCAGCCTTTCATCAATCCCGTTATTTGATTGACATATGGGGCAACCATTGAGATGACAACAGAATTATCGCAGATTATAAAGCAGGGGGCCAAATACGTCGATTGTGATCCACCGGCAGCCAGCGGACTGGTCCCAAGTCGACCGTGAGGCATGGGAGGAGGAAATGGGGTCATTAGTACATTTCAAAGCTTCAAGTCTTCAACGCCACTTCAGCTCACTCTGCGCTAACATCGACCAGAAATTTCCAAAAGGGACTGAACTTCGCAAGCACAAGTTGATCACTTTGAAAAGTCGGGCATTTAGACAACATCATGAAGCCTGTGATGGAAATCGTCAACTACATCCGTACATGGGCTTAACCACAGGCAATTCAGGAATCTCATCACTGAGTTGGACCAAGAGCTTCCAGGTGACCTGCCGCTGCACTGCACTGTGAGGTGGCTGTCAAAAGGCGTAAAAAACGTGAGCTTCTTCTTCCGCTTACAAAACCCAATGTGCAATTGTGCTCACTGCCTCGCCACTGCCACAATGTCATTGTGAGAAGATGCAGTTAACCTCATTCCAAAATGAATAAAGCATGTTGACTATATTTTGATGTAAGGTACCTCATAGTACAGCGAACATAATGGGACTCTCTATAAAGTAAGTCTACAAGACCAACCAAAATATGAGACATTGCGTGGGTTTTATCTGGGTACTCCGGTTTCCTCTCACATTCCAAAAACATTCGTGGCAGGTGAATCGAACACTCTAAATTGTCACATAGTGTGAGTGTGAGCGTGGATGTTTGTTCATCTGTGTGTGCCCTGCAATTGGCTGGCGACCGGTTCATGGTGTCCCCCGCCGACTACACACAGCTGGGATAGGCTCCAGCATGCCCCACAACCCTTGCGAGGATAAGCAGATTGGAAAATGAATGGATAGATGCATGGATGCATGGATGGATAGATGAATGGTGTTCTTTCAGAAGGTTGCAATGACTAAGTTTGATCAGCAGAGAGAATCGATCGCCACTTGCCGTGCATGGCCAAAGGGGGCTTTCGCATTTGAGATTGAAGAAGAGCCACACAAAGGTGGAAAACTTTGAGCAGTCCTGTTCAGAATTTCACAGCACTGCTTTGAAAGACAAGAAGTAACAAGAAGTACTCTTGGAAGATGTTAATTGTTCAGCTCTGATCTAGCACCAAAGAGCACATGAAGAGTTTGAGGAAGAGGAATTTTGCGTTCAGCCTTTAACATATGTGCAGACAAGTTTACAAGTGTTTCATTTTTTTTTCTGAAGTCGAGGTGTCCCCAATTGTTACATTTACAGCACTTTTATAGGCTATTTCATTTAAGTGTTGTCCTCTTTTAGTAAAAGTACTGTATCCCCAGACAGGCGGTGTTTAATTTACAGCACTTTATATTCATACAATCCAAAAACCTGCTGCATCTCAGGAAATGCTAGTGGCGATTGAGTTATACAAGCTCACTAAAAACAATCCAAAACGCCGTTGTGGAGAAGTTTTGACCTGCACATTGATTACACGATGAAAATTAAATGGAATGTTAGGAGACAAAGTTGTTTTATTTGTTTATTTATTTATTTATTTATTTATTGGTTTTTATATATTTATTTATTTATTTATTTTCAATTTATTTATTGAAGTCCAAGATGGCGCCCGAGTAGGCAGCCGTCGGCAAGTGCTCTCATGAGCCTTGCTTTTTTTGTTGTTTTTCTGTTTGTTTTGTCACTTTGTGTTTGTTGTTATGTCGTGTGGACCTGATGTGGACTGTTTTCAGCATTTTTTGGCCACGACATTCATCAAGGAGGACACTTGGTGCTTGGTGGTTGCGCCTTCTCGGCAGCACGGGTATGCCAGCACTGTTTTTGATTGGGAGGATTGTCGGCGCCATTTGACTGTCGTTGCTGGACAGCTCCGGGGCGCTTGTGTCTTGCACCTGTAATGGGCAGCATTTTCACAGCCCCGCTTTGTTCAGCGGAGAGATCGGTGCTGTTGAACGGGCTGCGGCTGGATGGATGCAAGGCTTGAGGAGCCGACGATGAGAAGAAAGGAGCGTCAGCGCAGAGCGCAGATGCGTATGTGGAACTGGGAATCGCCGCTTGGAATTGAAGCGGATTTACATGGGACAGGAGATGTGAGCCAATCTCTTTTTCGTCCATGGACGCTACAGCTTCTTGTTTGCTTTCAAACTTAGCTTGTAGCAGACGTGTGCACATTTTGATCATGACGTTCCAGCAGCTCCTATATTTTGTTGTTCTACGTCTTCCTTTCATAACTTTGCTGCTGTGAATTGGGAATTTCTCCATTGCGAGACTAATAAAGGTTTTCTTATCTTATCTTTATATGCAACGACTATGTCGACATTTTCGAGAAGTTCATAGGGCAAGAGCGACATCTATTGGTCAAACCGTAATTTGGAAAGAAAAACTAACTGAAAGCTGTGAGGATTTCTCCCTTTCATATTCACTATTTTCACATTATGTACATAATATTTATATTGTAATGCCCTTCAACGTGATCAAGGACGCACGCAGTCGCTTAATGCAATCTGTTCGCTTTTTATTAAACAAAAAAGCAGCAATCAACACACGTTCAAGGGAAGTGCTGATAGCCACCACTCACGCCCAAGCGCTCCACACTCAGACCGCCGCCGGAGCAGTTCTCCCCCCACCTGGGTCCTCCCCTCTCCATGACGTCACCCCTGACTCAACTAACTCAGCCCTCAAATACACAAATAACAAGAAACAGATATTACACTATTGTGCCCTATCAGTTCTTGTCTATAAAGGTAGAACACTCACATTTTCATGTACCTGCGTTTTAAATACAGTCCGACTTAATCACGAAATTTAGAAAACGTTTGTACCATGGTTCAAAACTATATTTCACTGCAGACTCCTTGGGTATTTTGTGTTGCATTTCTGTATACATGATCAATGCCACAATATGTTCAAGGAGGAATTCAAGGCCAAGTGAACGTTTCAGATGATCAACCATGTTTATTTGTTAATAGTGGTGGCATTTATTTATTTATTTATTTTCCATTATTTATTTATTTTTATTTGAGTATTTAGTGCTATGCTCAGTGTTTCATGAAAACTGAATTATTATTATTATCTTATGTTTTGTGAAAGTTTTTGAAACATGAATATTGACAAGTTATTTAGTAAAGCAAAACTGACAAATACTCAGATATTGTTAATTTCTGTTCGGGGTTCTGTTAGGGGTTGGTGAGGGGTTGTGCAGGGCAACACAAAGCAATTACGCTCAGGGCACCAAAATGGCTAACGCCGGGTATAGATAGCTAGCTAGATAGAAAAAAACTGTCACGTTATAAAGAAGATAAAATGCAAAATATTGATTGAAGAAAATGTGTACTTTATATGCAATAGTATCAGAAGATGATTCCACATTTATAAAGTTTCAGAATCAAAACGGCCCTCCGAAGGAACTGTAAGACAAAAATGAATTGGATAAGCTTCTCCACGCAACAACACAGTGACTGTCGGTGTACTTTGCGTTTTACTGGAATAGGTTTTCGGTGTTGTGGGGGGGCTGGTTCTTCGAATGATGGGCGGGACTCGCTCTGATCGAGATCATCCCTCCTCGAACAAACCAACCTGGAGCTTGAGCTTCCTTTTCCAAACTACGCTGTCGTCTCCATGGGGACCCACTCACACAGAGAGCTGGCAACCACCTCTCTGCCAAGAAGCAAAAATAAGGGAACACACACGACCACTCACTCTCAGCCACCATTGTCTGTTTACTGAGTGAAAATTGTTCCGCCATCTCAGCCTGTGCATGAAGGATTGAATGGCTCTCTGTCGACTAACTGGACAATAGACCGCCTGTTCGCTTTTCTCTCGGTGTATTCCTTCCTGGGTGTCGGAACTTGCCACTGATCTTGATGGCTGGGCACGAGTGGGATGACTGGTTCGAGAGGGAGGAATTCATCGGGCACATCAGCGACATGCGAGTGCAAAACCTCCAAGGTAAGAGATATCCGGCAGCTTCTCATTGTGCAGCGGACTACAATCAGCCCTAGATAAATCATTTCACTACTATAGCGGGAGAGATAAATATCGAAGCTGTGTTTTTACCTTCTTAGTACAATCGGCCAAATAAAACAATCTACGGACACTCGCAGAAATGTACTTGCGAGTGGAACTTTTTCTTTTAGTAGAAATAGCTACCGTATAAATATATAGATTTTCGTGGTTCAATCGACCATATGTGGTTTATCAGTTTCTAATAATGTAGTCAACACACACACACACGCACGCACGTACAGAAAAACGTACGTGGATGCGTGTGTGATGTGGATGAAGTGGGTGGGAGTGTGGTTTTAAACTACTTCTGCAAACCTTAATTTGGTCTGTTTTTCCCTTTCAACACGTTATATCAACAGCAATTTTATAGCAAACAAAAATTTTTTACTTTATGGGCTGAATAAAGTATCTATCTGGGGTGGCAGGGTGATAGACTGGTTAGGATGTCCACCTCACATTGCAGAAGTCACACATTCGAATCCCGCCCTAGAATTCCTATGTGGAGTTTGCATGTTCTCCCCGTGCCGATGTGGGTTTTCTATGGGTGCTCCAGTTTCCTCCCACATTTCAAAAACATGCATTGTAGGTTGATTGAATACTTTAAATTGTCCTTAGGGGTGATTGTGAACGCAGATGTTTGTTTGTCAGCGTGTGTCCTGCGAATGGCTCGGAACCATTTCAGGCTGTCCCCTGCCTGCTGCGCGAAGACAGCTGGGATAGGCTCCAGCACCCCCCGAGACCCTTGTGAGGATAAAGCGGATCGTAAAATGGATGGATGGATGGATAATAATAAAAATAATTACACGAAATTCCACAAAACAACAGCGACGTCACTGGAGTCATTGCACGGGCCTTAATGATTATAAAAATATTTTAAACAAAACAATATGGACCTCTCAGTGGTCACTGCTCGGCCCGAAAAATAATACCAAGAGCTTCGAGTCCTGCTGAATCATTGTCTTCATACCTCTTAATTTCTTTGATCACAAACTTTTCTTGCGCCTTATAAAGATGCTGAGGTTTTCTGACTGTTACCAGTCCTTGCAGCTTTCTTGGAAAGTCCTGAAGCATCTGATAAGTGGCTGGGAGAGTTGAAGGATGGGAGAGCCGCGAGTGCTTTAAAGCAATGGCCCAGAGGCTCTTGCGTAACATGATGAGCCAGAGAGAGTGGGAGTGCATTTCCCTCTGCTTTACTGTGCTCAGTCTCTGAGCTGAATGTTCCTGTTCCCACATCCCACACAACGCACTGTTTTGTCCCTCTCACGCATTGCACTCACACGCATGCACACACATGCATATACATGCACAAACACAATCTCTCGTTGCCTCGTGCCTCATTGCCTCAAAGGGATGTGCGTGTGCGTGTGTGTGCGTGTGTGTGTGTGTGTGTGTATATCTATATATATCTATATATCTATATATCTATCTATCTATATATATATATATACACACACACAGAGAGAGAGAGAGAGAGAGAGATCTACGAGTCATGATGAGTCACGGCAGCAAGTCTGGGTAGGAGGTCATCAGGTGGACAAGCATCACAGCAATGCACCACCCAAGCATACAGTTCGTGCCTACCAGCTAATGTTTACATGGGCCGGCTGTGCAAAGTCTGCTTGCATTTCCATGCTTTCCGCTTGATCACTTCGGGGCTACTTGTTCAAATGATTCAACAGTTTTTTTTGCATTGCCTTGTTTTCGACGACATACCACGCACAATGGCTTGCTCCTCTACGTTGCTCTGGAGATAAAATAGCTTCATCTTCGAAAGTTATGGCTGCTCATCAGCTGCGCGTTTAGCTGTATGTTTCGTCAATTTGTTACTGTTACTTTCTGTCGACTGCTTCTTCTTTCATTCGTTGTCAGATTCTGCTTATTTCAACTTGTAAACCAATGTTAGAAGGGGGACCGTGATTGGCTAAAGTCGCGCACATTTCCATAACGTCTGTTGCAGTAAACATGCTCACCGCTGGTCACATAATATCACGATTCTCAATCATATAATCACAATTATATAATTACATTGCCCTTTGGAAGTTAATCGACGGGGAGTGGATTGGTTGACTGAAGTGTGATCACAGAGTCATAAATGAGATGGTCTTGAACTAGACACAGCCTCTCAATGTTTGGAAATATAGCTTTCAAGTCACCGTCAGCAGCCAGTTTGTTTGACAAAACGGGGTTCGTGAGGGGGTCTAAAATGTAGCGGACGATTTTAAGTAGTGCCGGATCATTGGATCGTCGGATGATTAGCTCAGCCATTTGAACGTTGGAGATACAGGAGACAGCGGCCATGTTTGTCGGTTTCGTGTCAATTGACAAGCAACTTCGGGAGACCGCTAGGTTGTACCCCAAAGGTAGCTTACAGTTTTTTGCATACCAGACCCAAACATCAGATTTGTAATGCCATAAGCCAGCCAACAATGCGAGCTTTTGTCACGACTCCATCTCCAATGAGTTGGTTATCTGATAAAGGTGACCAGATGTTGGTTAGTGTTAATGGGGAACCTTTTTGGCAACCAATGTTGTTTGAAAAAATGTTTTATTGCCCAAACCGTGGACAGCAAGGCTTTTTCACAGTCCGAGTATTTTAATTCGGGGCCATTGAATGTTTTGCTGATGACACGTTTTACTTAAGATAAGATTTATTTGTCCCACACTGGGGAAATTTGCAGTCTACAGCAGCAAAATTGGGGGAGTGGGGAGGGGGGGGGGAGAAAAAGTAAAGTGTTTCATTGCACAAAATAAATGTTTCAGAAAAGAACTGTACACAGTTCAATATAAGTACAATGTAAAATAAAGCATTAGCAATATACCATATTTGTAGAATAAATACTTACTAATAAATACAATTTATTACAATTTATTATATATATATAAATAACTCCATACATATATAGATATAGATAGATAGATAGATAGCGGCTGGATAGCTCAGTTGGTAAGGCATCGGTTTGGCGTACGGGAGACGGTGGTTCAAATCCCGCCTGGGGCAAAAATGAGCACATAACACCATCCAGTGTGGGGACTTGGGCAAGATCCTTCACGCTATGCCGACCTCATACAATGATGAGAGACAATAAGACGAATGACATGCCGGCTCAGACGTCGCCCGGCCAAACAAGGTCTGCGTCAGGTGCTGGGGAACCAGAGCACCCTGATGAAAAATGGGCTACTGGAACAAAGCGGAGATGGGCGAGATGCGATAACATGGCTCTGTTGGAATGCTACTACTCAAGCAACC